CGAGTACACTAGCAAGCAGTTCGATGAATTCTTGGCGCGGAAACGGATTCTGAGGTGAAAGACTGTGCCTTACACCCATCAGCAGAATGGGGTAGCTGAGAGGACGAATGGAACATTGCAAGAGAAGATGCACATGCTGCTGCAATCGTCTAGCTTAGCAACAGATTTTTGGCCATTTGCAATGGTGCGAGCTATTAGACTACACAACTGCTTGTCTTCAACTTCTCTCCCTTAGTTCAGCTCGCCACACGTCATGTGGACAAAACACCCCGCTGACACTCGACTTCTACGATTTTGGGGCTGAAAGCTCCAATACAGTCCCCCAAGTGCAACTGTGGGCAGATTTATTGAACGGGCTTGATGGGGAATACACTTTGGTGTACCCAAGGATTCCTACCCGTGGATAATTTTGGATAACAAAACCCAAAACGTTTATGCTCCAGACTGCATCTTCTACGAGAAACCTTTTTTCCGATGATTTCGATGCTCCAGCAGCGGGATCCTGATCGCTACAGTGCGGAACGGAGTTCCGCCACCCCTCAAGACGAAGCAGATGCAGCCAAAGAATATTAACCGCACAACAGCACAACAGCATGACCTTCTACAGTTCCGCAGCCGTCTACGTCAGCAACCGAACCATCGCTCGATTCAAATATTCCTTCGACGCGTGCCAATAACACAGCCAATCTGCCCTTCATTCCCATCTCGGACCCGTTACATCCTGCCATGACACAGGCTGCTTATAAATATGAGGAGCACCTGCGCCAATAGAAAACCGATGCAGCATCACATGACAGTGCCCGCCATCTGCCATCCGAAATTGACGATGATGATGTCGTCGAAGTTTGCCAACCACATCCTTGTGGTGACCAATCGGCTCTCCAGATCCTTGGCCTCGCTATTGCAGTTCAGCAACCAGCGGATGGGATCGAGGTGAAAAAAGTCAAGCAGGCCATTTCCGGCTTTGATGCCGACAAGTGGCAAGCAGCTATGGATGCAGAGGTAGCAGCCCTTGAGAAGCGGAAAACGTGGAAACTTGTTCCACGCGAAGCAGCACGCGGGAAGATTTTTCCTTCGGGCAAATGGGTCTTTTGCAAACAGACAAATGCATCAGGCAAAGCAGACAAATTCAAGGGGAGATGGGTCGTTCGAGGTTTCGAACAAACCCATGGCATCGACTACGACCAGACTTTTGCTCCGGTCAGCCGCCATACCTCTATTCGAATTCTTCTCGCCATTGTTGCCAGCCGTCACCAGCCACTTCGCGAACTGGGCGTAAAAGAAAAGTTTTTTATACGCAGACGTCGATGTAGATATTTATGTCGGACTCCCTCACACTTATGGCAATGGACTTCACATCTGCAAATTACTTTAATCACTCTACGGCATCAAACAAGCTCCTCGCCTGTGGCAGCAGTATCTTCACAAAGTTCTGATTTCACTCGAACTCGTGCAGCTACCCCACAATCCTGGAAGGTACAGACTCGAATTTCGGGGGCATTACATTCTTTTGTCACCTACGTGGACGACTTACTGTACATCAGCTTGTGCAACCGTCTTCTGGCGCGCATGGAAACCAGAATCCAAGAGACTCTCGACGTTACTATTTCCCCCACAGTTACCCAGTTCCTTGGGTTAAACGTCAACTGTAGCCCCGATGCCATCTATCTCTCTGCAAGCAAATACGCAGAAACACTTGCGAAAAAGTTTGCCATCGCTCCCATCGGCCTCAACACTCCTTTTTGTCACATTTCAGTCGATCACACACCTAATACTGTACTACCCCACTTATCTCCTCCAAGCATCAGCTTTACCAGCAGTAGCTTGTGTGTCTTTTATTTGCAGCCGTTACATGCCGCCCATATCTTGCCTATATCACGAGTCACCTCGCACAGTACCTGCGCCGACCTAAAGAGGAGGGCCGATGTTCGTCGAGTCCTCCAATATTTCATTTCAACTCCTACGATCGGTCTCAGCAACACGACAAATACTGCAACAAATTTTCGACTAACTGGATACGTTGATGCGGACCACGCTGCTGACCCTGAAAACAAGCGTCTGCACACAGGGCTCATTTTCAAACCTGAACTGGGTGGTGTTACTTCTTGGAACTCAACAAAACAGGAGGCCATCGCACTTTTTTTGGCCGAAGTAGAATTCGACGCAACAAGCTTTGCAGTTCGCGAAGGACTCTATCTTCAAGAGTTACTTCAAGAGGCGAAAATTGCAACGACCCGTTAGTTCAAGTTACCATAATCCCCCGTATGTAGTGCTCGTCAGAATTCAGCACCCTCGGATAGCTTGAGCAAGGATGGGTGTTTAATTAAACTGGATCTAGATAACACCCTAATTTTGGGCATGGAAATAATTGAACACCCCCTTGCGACCCATAATCTTCATTTCGCTAGGAAACACAAGAATTTGCCGTGCATAGTTGCGTGATGCCGTTCCTTTTTCCCCTCCTTGTGCCATGCATATAAACATCAGGGAAATTGGGAAAACGGGCAGGTGGTAAACGTGTCGCGGGTAGGAAAACTGAATCTCTGCGAACGGAAAAGTCGCCAAAACCTCGAAGTCCCAAAATCAATTCTTGACTCTCGCTCGCTCTGACCAAAACGAACTTTGCAGCCGCCCACTGATTGGAGGCATCAAGGACAAGGCCTGCAGCACTCGTTGATTGGCTGATTTGCCCTGACTCTGCTGGTATACTTGACGACGTGAGAAGCGGATGGGCCACATCGTCGGGTACGCGATGAGGTAACCAAAAGTAGGCACATGACTTCCAACAAGCAGGTGAAACATGCACACTTCATTTTCAATTTGAAAAACCATATGCACATTCCATAGTTCCTGGGTGTTGTACGAAAATTACCTTTATTTTCACCCACCCCCAAATTTAGGTGAACTTTTGTTACCACCATAGGGTATTATATATGGGGATTAGGGTACTTTGCGATATCCAAAGTGCAATCAAGATTGCAAACAAGCCCAGCTTTGTCAATAGGACAAAATGCATCGCCCTTCAAGAACGAAATCGACAAAGGGAAGGTCACCCTGAAATGGCAGCTGACTCACACGCGGCAAATTTCAGTACTGCTCCAACCTGCTTGGAATATGCAAATGAGGCGACACTAATCCAGAGACCTACACTTAGGAATGAAGGGGAGTGTTGAAGTATACTTGGTAGAGTTACCAATCATGCATTCATGATATCATACTTAGACTGTAATAGTAGCGCGATACCTCATATGGAAGGACGTGCATGATAATCGTCAACTTATACATGTCATGCGTGTAGAAGTTATAGGCTAGTATCGGTGTGTGCTCGTAGTGAGTACAACCCAACTGCTATATGTTCCATGTTTCTCTTTCTAGTCATCATTCTCGTATGCTAACATGGTATCGAGTAGGTTAGGTCCACCCACCCGCTTCCGCCTACACCCTAGCCTCTCGCCTACCCCTACCTACCTAGCCCGGCCAGGCCCTTAGCGCCCGCTCGGCCTGTAGCGCCCGCCCGCCCCTTAGCGCCTGCCTGGCCCCGTCGCTCCCCCCTGGCCCCGTCGCGCCCGCCCGGCCCCTGTCGCGCCCTCCTGGCCCCGTCGCGCCCTCCTGGCCCCGTAGCGCCCTCCTGGCCCCCGTCGCGCCCTCCTGGCCCCGTAGCGCCCTCCTGGCCCCCGTCGCGCCCTCCTGGCCCCGTAGCGCCCTCCTGGCCCCCGTCGCGCCCTCCAAGCCCCGTAGTGCCCTCCTGGCCCCCGTCGCGCCCCCCTTGGCCCAGTAGCGCCCTCCTGGCCCCCGTCACGCCCTCCAGGCCCCGTCGTGCCCTCCTGCCCCCCGTCGCGCCCTCCAGGCCCCGTCGCGCCCTCCTGGCCCTCGTCGCACCCGCCTGGCCCCACCGCGCCCGCCTGGCCCTGTCGCTCCCGCCTGGCCCCAACACGCTCGCCTGGCCCCATCGCGCTCGCCTGGCCCCAACGCGCCCGCCTGACCCCCCCGAAAGCCCGCCTGGCCCCCCACCGTGCCCGCCTGGTCTGCTGCGCACGCTGGCCCCTCCTAGCGCCCGCCCGGCTCCTCCTCGCGCCCGCCCGGCCCTTCCTAGCGCCCGTCCGGCCCCTCCCCGCGCTCGTTCGGCCCCACCTAGCGCCCACCCAGCCCCTCCAAGCGCCCGCCCGGCCCCACCTAGCGCTCGCCCGGCCCCTCCTACCGCCCGCCTGGCCCCTTTCCTTGCACCCGCCAGGTTCTCCTAGCGCTCGCCCAGACTTTCCTCGCGCCCGCCTGGCCAGTTGCGCCCGTCTGTCCCACAGCGCCCGCCCGACCTCTCCTACTGCCTGCCCGGCCCCGATACGCCCGCCCGGCTCCTGCGGCCCGCACCTCCCAGTGCCCGCCCAGCTCCTGCGGCTCGTGTCGTCTGCTTGCCGCGCTGGAGCGTCTTGCCGCTGTCCTGTGGAGCTGTGCCGCTGTGTCCCTGTGTCGCTGATTCTGCACGATGGCTGACTTCGTCCTCCGCCTGGACGCGGAGGGCCACGCGGTTGACTTCGCCGCCTGGCTGTCTGATCTCCGCCGTCACCTCAAAGGTCAGCGTCAGGATGGGCATTCCTTGGTTGTCCATGTTGATGGCTTGCTCCCCCGCCCCCCTGCACCTGCTCCCCTCCCTGTTGACAACACCTCTACTGAGCGTGAGGCTTTCTCTGCTGCTGCACTTGCCTGTGCAATCTGGGACTCTCGCGATGCAGTTGCTCAGGTCGCTATTAGTCACGCCCTCCCTATGCCAGAGCGTTTGCGTTTCGCTACAGTTGATACAGCCAAGGCTTACCTAGATGCTGTAGTTGCTCGCTATTCCACGCCTGCCTCTGCTACTGCAGGCCGCCTGCTCTTTCCTATGCTTTTCCCAGACCTTGCTTCCTTCCCTACTGTTGCCGATCTTGCCACTCACCTGCGCGCCCTCGAGTCTCGCTACCGCACTGCTAGCACTGCTGCCCAGCTCACTGCGCTCCCTCCCCCCTTCTGCATGACCCTCTACTTTATCGCTATGCGCCTACCTGACCGCCTTGCTAGCGCCCGCGACCACATCCTTAGCCAACACCCGGGTGACCTCACCCTTACAGCCTTTGTCACCGCCCTGACCGAGATCGAGACTCGCCAGCGCACTATCGCTCAATCGAGCGGTGCACCGGCAGTCTCTATCTTTCACGGCTGTGCCCCCTCCCACTGCACGTTTACTAACGTTTCGGCTGCGGTCGCCACTGCGACCCCTCTGACCGAAACTGTTGCTGCCGTGCACTCGCAGCAGCGCCCGCGCCGCGCCGGTCGTGGCCGCCAGGGAGGGCGTGTTGGTGGAGCTGGTGGTAGTGGTGGTGGTGCCGGGGACAGTAGTTCTACTGAGGGGACTGCCGCAGCTAGTCAAGGGCAGCAGCCGTCGCCCCAGCAGCAGGAGCAGCCGCAGCAGCAGCCATCGCAGCAGTCGCAGTCGTCGCCGCAGCTGTCCCAGCCCCAGCCGTGGGCTCGTCTCCCCCCGGGTTGGCCCGGCACTTCCATAGGTGGTGGCCGTGGTGTCGGCCCGCGCAGCTTGGCGCCTACCGGCAGCTCCGTTGTTGTGACCTGCCAGTACCAGCTTCAGACCGGGCCTCTCCGCGGCACTCTGTGCCGCCGCCCGCACCCGACCGCCCGCTGTTTCCGCCGCCTCGACGATCTCTTTCGTCGTCGCTTCTGCCCGGCCCCGGACCTCCCCGACTGGCACAGCCTGCTTCGCCAGGGCGTGCCGATCTTTGAGTTAGATATGGATCAGATAGGTGCTGCTTTGCATGCCTTGTATGCTGACGCTTCTAGTGTTGCTGGATCTTATTACCCTGTGTACTCTAGTTTAGGCGTAGCACCCTTGTGTAGCTTAGCCTCCCCTGCTGCGTCAGGCGTGTTGCTTAGAGAAGGCTATAAGCAGATGATTCAATGGCTCCTTGGAAATTTCTGTAGCACTTCGTTATGACGCCCAGAAGACCTTCGAAAAGCTATATCCGAAACTCCAATCGGTGAAACGATTTGAAAATCAGATATGTTGTAGCTTGCAGCGTCAGCTTTCCTCTGAAAGTTGAATCACTCGATTCCGTAGCTTAACGAGCGAGCTATGGCGTTTGGCGCACTGGGGGGTAATCTGCCCTAGGAGAAGTTGACAATCCTCAGAGTCACAATAATTGAAGCTTACAAGTTCAGAGGCATGATAGAAAAGGCATTGAAGCACAGTTGGAAGGTAGGGATGGAAGGGAAGGATGAAAGGGAAGGACCCTGGAGGCCCATGGTCAAGAACATGACAAGAGTCAAAGTCTTGACTCCCCATCCTCAGGTTCAGCCAGCCTGGCAAGACAAAATTCACACTGTACCAGGTTGGCCTCCAAACCCCAAATGCTGCAGCTGCAGGGTGGGGACAAAAGTCCCACACATGCTGGTCCCTCCTCGTTATAGGGCTCTCCAACTTTGGTGTAGCAGCTGACAAGGACTTCCAATGAGTTGTAACAAATCCATCAAACATTTCTTCGTAACTTCTTCATATGTGCTCCGATTCCAACAATTCTTGGCTCGTTGGAATGTGCTCGATGTCATGCACAAACCAAGCACACCTGCACAAGCACAAGACAAACATGCAAATACATGCAAACCCAACAAACCATACAAACAATGTAGCACACAAAACAGATGCAACGAAATGATGCGAACAGACGACAGGATGACGTGCAAACGAATATGCACCAACACACTCCCCCTCAGACTGTCGGCTTGTTTCGCCGTCTCTAGTTCAAGGACATTCCCGCCATCCTCGCACAGCGCCACTGTGGCTCTTCAGCTAGCCGCTTGGTAAGGAAGTCGGCTGGCTGTTGCTGAGTTTTCACGTAGATCGGATCCAGTGTCCCAAGCTTCACCTCCTTCCACAGCCAATGCCACTTGATCCTCATGTGCTTGTTCAACCCATGAAGAACTGCATTGCGTGCCATGGCAATGGTTGCCTTGCTGTCACTGAACAGAGGTGTCGCACAAGTCTGTTCATGGCCGATCTCCTTCAAGAGCCTCCTTAGCCAAATGATTTCTTTTGCCGCATGAAACATTGCCATGTACTCAGATTCCACTGAAGATAGTGCCGTTTCAGACTGCTTCTTGGACCTCCAACTTACAGGCCCACCTCCCACCATGCAGATGTATCCACCAACTGATGATGAATCCTCATGCTCAGAAGCCCACGTGGCATCAGCAAAACAGGAAAGGAACACCTTTCCTTCTCCGAGCTGCTCCCCCTTCTCTTGAAGGACTTCAACTCCTTTTTGCCTGAGTTGAGCAGAGGCTGAATACTGTACTCCCACTGTAGGGTATGACTTGAGGTAGCGCACCACTCTCTCCGCTGCACCACACTGCTCTTCTGTTGGATTTTGCACTACTCGAGCCAGCTGTCCCACAGCAAAGCTGATGTCAGGCCGAGTATGCACAGCAGCGTAGAGTAGGCTCCCGACCATGGATTGGAATTGCCTCTGGTCTTCACTCTCAACTCCTTCTCCTTCAGCTGCCTTTATGAGTTTGAACTCGGAAGGCAAAGGTGTGACCACTTCCCGTTCTTCCTGCAGAGAGTACTTCTCAGCCAAGGTATTGATGTACTGTCCCTGATGCAGTTTGAGCCAGCCACGTTCAATATCCCGCTCAATGTGCATTCCCAGGTAGTACCTTGCCTCTCCAAGTGACTTGCACTTGAACTGCTCTGTGAGCTTCCGCTGCACTCCTTGTCACTGCTGCTGAAGAGCAGGATGTCATCCACGTACACCAGCAGAAGCACAAGCGACTCCCCCTCGCCCATCAGGAATAGGCTCTCGTCGCATGCACTCGCACGGAATCCAATCCCTTCCAGTGCACTGGCCAGCCTGTTGTACCAGCATCTCGGGGCCTGCTTCAAGCCATAGATGGCCTTGTTAAGTTTGCAGACACGACCGGTTCCATCCTCATAGCCAGGTGGTTGAACCATGTACACCTCCTCTTCCACAATGCTGTACAGAAAAGCGGTTACGATGTCCATCTGCTTCACCTTCCATTTGCGCACAGCAGCTACCGCCAGCAGCACACGCAGCGTTGGAGACTTAGCAGTTGGGGCAAACACTTCTTTGTAATCTTCTTTCTCTTTCTGCTGAAACCCCTTTGCCACCAGCCTGCTCTTGTAAACTGATGGCTCTCCTTTCTCATCCGTCTTGATTTTTGCCAGCCACTTGCACTGTATTGCCTTCTTCCCATTTGGCAAGTACACCAGGTCCCATGTGTGATTCTCCATCTGGCTGTTGTACTCTGCATCTCTTGAAACGAGCCACTTCCCCCGTTGAGGCTCGGCTAGCGCATGATCCATGCTCGGAGGTTGTATTGGTGCGTAAAAGCAGTATGCAGGCTCCTCGTCATCTGACTCTTGGTCATCACCCAAGAACAGCACTGCATCTTCGCCTTGAGCCTGTTCCTGCTGCTCAGTTGTGGCTCCTCCACTTGTAGAGCTCAGCAGCTTTCTCGTTGCCATTCTGGTACGTGCAGGGTAGATGGTTGGATTTACCCATTCTTTCACCTTCACCCAATCCTTTGTCCCCCCACCAATCTGTTTCCTTCGCTTTGGCAGACTTGGTGTTTTGGAAGCCTCTTGCTGCTGCTGCTCCGGATCCTTGACTTCAGCATCAGCTGCAATATCCTCATTGCTTCCTTCATCAGTACCGCTTGCCGTTGGCGCAGTGACTTCGATGTCCTCAGGTTCGGACAAATCGAAGTGCATAGTGATCTCTTCCAGCTGCTGGGTGACCCTTGCCTCCGGCTGCTTCTCCCACTTGCCATACATGATGTTCTCCACAAATTTGACATCCCGACTGTCAAACAGCACATTCTTTGAGGGCTCCCATAGTAGCCACCCCTTGCGCTCTGCCGCAAGTCCAAGGTGCACACACCACAGTGCAGATGCTCCAAGCTTTGTCCTGTACGGTTTAGGGACATGCGCCACTGCCATGCATCCGAACACTCTGAGCATGTCCACTGGAGGCTTCTTTCCAAGCCACCTCTCCAGCGGCACCCACATATCATCAGCCACCTTTGTGAGTACGCGGTTCCTTGCCACTGTAGCATGCCTTACCGCATGAGGCCACATGGAGTTCCCCAGCCCTGATTCGATCAGCAGCGCTCGCGCAGTTTCCAGGATGGTCCTATTAGCCCTCTCAGCAACGCCATTTGACTGAGGGGTATAGGACGTCGTTAGCTGATGCTCAATGCCTTGTTTCTTGAGCCACGCAGTCAGATCTCCTCCTAGAAACTCTCCACCTCGGTCGGTTCTGATGCTCTTGCATGGGTGCCCAGATTGTCGCTCGACGAACGGCAGCCAGTCATCTCGTATTGTTGAGGCAGCATGATCCTTCTGCTTCAACGGGTATGCCCACATCAGCCGACTCCAGTCATCAACTATTGTCAGGAAGTACCTTTCCCCCTTACGTCCTCGAACTGGAAAAGGTCCTACCAGGTCCATGTGCACCAGTTCCAGTGCTGCCTTGCTTTTCCCAGCTACGCCGTGAAAGGGGAACCGTGTGAACTTGCTCAGCAGACACGTCACGCACTTGGTATCATTTGGTTGCCCAGAAAGCTTCAGCCCCTTTACTGCTTCTTCCTTATGCAGTTGCTGCAGCAATGGCATAGCCACATGCCCTAGACGCCTGTGTGCGGTTTCCCAATCAGTCTCCCCCGACCTTGCAGAAACTGTCACTCCTGCAGCACTAACTGCATTGCACTCCCCCTGGACTCCAGATCCAGCCTTTACTTCTCCCAACTCCTTCTTTGTTGATTCCCATATCAGTGCAGGGATCTGCCACATGGATCTGAAGACATCTCTGCTTTCGTGTAAATCCCATAACACACGATCTCCTCGCAGCCCCTTGAATGTTTTGGATCCATTGGTGGTGGTGCTGACTCCGGCCTGGCCTAGCTTGCGCAGCGATATCAGATTGGCCTTCAGCCCCGGTACGAGTAACACGTCCTTAAGCACGACCAGTCCACCATCAGGTGCTCTGAATGCAGCTCGACCAACTCCAGCGACCTTCACTGCATGTCCGGATGCTGAGCGCACTTCGGAGATTGGAGGCGCTCGCACAGCATCCAGCAAGTCCTTGCGTGGTGTCATTGTCCATGCAGCACCAGAGTCCATGACCCACATATCAAGCGGGTGCAACTCTTCTCCAGCCCTTGCAACAGCTGTGCCACTGTCATCTTTGTCACACACATGGTAGAACTGTCCAGCATTCCTCTCCTCATTTCCCATTCCTCTGTCATCCTTGGAGGTTTCTTCAGCAGGATCAGCTACCATGTTGGCACCTCCATGTGGTTGCTTTCCTCCATTCCCCTTTTGCGATTGGTTCCAAGGGGTCCACCAGTCGGGCTTAGTAGAGCAGCGAAACCATGGATGCCCTTCTTCCTTGCAATACCAGCACTCTCCCCTCAAGCGTGGTTCACTGTTGTCATTGTTGGAGTGACCACCTCTTCCTCTTGCACCAGCGCCACCACGCCCCCGCTGGTTCCAAGTCCCGCGACCACCTTGGTTGTAGTAGGAGCGACCGCGATTGCCACGCCCTCGATCCCTCCATGTCCCTTGCATGGCATAGCCGCTGGTGCTGTCATCACCTCCGCGCAGTGTATAGCGACGAAAATCTTCTTCCAGAATCTTGGTGCGAATCCAGTCCAATGTCCATTGACTTTGGTTTTGTGGCAAGCTGAGTCCGCTTATAAATTGCAGCCAAGACTCGGGCACCAGGCTGAGCATCTTGAGACACTTAGTCTGCTCAGGGTACGTGATGCCTGCAATCGCCAATTTCGCGTAGAGTTCCCTCATCTTGTCCAGTACGGGCTGCACAGGTTCATTCTCGCTCAACCGCAGCATGGACAGCTCCCGATCCAGCATGAGAGAAGCGGCAACCGATGTCGGAGCGTGCAGGTCTTTGAGCACTGCCCATGCCTTGGGCCCACAATCAATTTCCGGTAGCAGATGCATGATGTGATGCCTCTGGTTCAGCTCCAAGCTTTGTGACAGTAGATAATACCCAGCAGATGAACGTTCATCCCAGTCCGCTTGCTCTGCCATTTCCTTTGGCCTTGGCTCCGTTCCAATCATGAGCTTCAAGAGGCCAATTTGTCGAAAGTAGAGCTGCATCTTCCATGCCCAATCGTCATAGCCATCTCCAGAGAACTTCTCAATGGTGAAGCTCTTCAGCACCTCCTTAAGCAGTGACCCCTGGCTTGTATGCGCTCCCCTTTGCGCTGCAATGCCAGAATCTTGGGTTGAGCTGCCTCCTTGGACTGAAGTATCACCTCCACCAGAGTCCTCCTTATCTCCCATCGTATTTTAGGTCCCAAATGCGTGACAATGGGCTCTGATACCACTTGTTGGTTAGAGAAGGCTATAAGCAGATGATTCAATGGCTCCTTGGAAATTTCTGCAGCACTTCGTTATGACGCCCAGAAAACTCGCGACCTTCGAAAAGCTATATCCAAAACTCCAATCGGTGAAACGATCTGAAAATCAGGTATGTTGTCGCTTGCAGCGTCAGCTTTCTTCTGAAAGTTGAATCACTCGATTCCGTAGCTTAACGAGCGAGCTATGGCGTTTGGCGCACTGGGGGGTAATCTGCCCTAGGAGAAGTTGACAATCCTCAGAGTTACAATAATTGAAGCTTACAAGTTCAGAGGCATGATAGAAAAGGCATTGAAGCACAGTTGGAAGGTAGGGATGGAAGGGAAGGATGAAAGGGAAGGACATGGTCAAGAACATGACAAGAGTCAAAGTCTTGACTCCCCATCCTCAGGTTCAGCCAGCCTGGCAAGACAAAATTCACACTGTACCAGGTTTGCCTCCAAACCCCAAATGCTGCAGCTGTAGGGTGGGGACAAAAGTCCCACACATGCTGGTCCCTCCTCGTTATAGGGCTCTCCAACTTTGGTGTAGCAGCTGACAAGGACTTCCAATGAGTTGTAACAAATCCATCAAACATTTCTTCGTAACTTCTTCATATGTGCTCCGATTCCAACAATTCTTGGCTCGTTGGAATGTGCTCGATGTCATGCACAAACCAAGCACATCTGCACAAGCACAAGACGAACATGCAAAGACATGCAAACCCAACAAACCATACAAACAATGTAGCACACAAAACAGATGCAACGAAATGATGCGAACAGACGACAGGATGACGTGCAAACGAATATGCACCAACACAAGGCGTAGGAGTGCCTAGTTTGCCTAGCCTAGTTT